TAACATTGAAATACAACTGTGTTAACATAAGGTAAGGCATTTTTTTTTATTTTCATTACCTGAAACTTACGAATAAACTATAAGCTTAACTATTTTAAGGTATCTTAATAGTGCAATAAAAAAACATCATCATCATCATCATCATCATCATCATCATCATCATCACCAGCTCACTATACGTCCTCACCGAGGGGCTCGGAGCCTACCCTAATACGGGGTGACTAGGCCATAGTCAACCATCATATATCATATAATTATTTTGACTATTCAAAAAGAAATAATCTTCACTGTGACTAATATTGCCAATGTTTAGATATATAGAAGGATGGATCACGATTAAATTAACCAAATGCATATAAAATGTCTTTAGAAACCAGAAGGTTAACTTTTTAAATTCCGCGCAGACGAAGACATATGCAAGAGCCTGTAGTAAAACTTATCTATATCCAAACCTAATAATCTTTACTAATGTTATAAAAAGCAAAAATTTGTATTTTTGTATGTATTGAAATAACTCAAAAACTACTCGACCAATTTTAAAAATTCTTTCACTGTTAGAAAGGTAATTTATCTGTGAGTAACATAGGCAATATATTTCACGCGGGCGAAGTTGCGAGCAACAGTAGATAATATAGGAAGGATAGGTAAAAGTAACTACGTCGATTCCTTCTTCTATCTTCTCTAGATCCTGTTCTTTTCCATTCTTAAAGAAAGGAAAATTGGACTTACGACACTACACTGATTTAGAAGATGTGCAGAATTAAAATGTTTACCTGTCTTTAGTTAAATTGTGGTATTTCATCGGAAGATATAACAGCATACGTCAACTCTGTCATTCCTCACTATCTCCTAGGTTTTCTTATAAAAGAAGTTTACTTCGCGTCCGTAATGCCACATGCTTCATTCTACCATAAAAATCCTCAACTCTAACTCGAATAGAATAATCCATCACAATAATTATGAACTAATAATCAATATTTCAGAAGTAACAGGCACATAATGAAATAACAAACGGCGTTTCAATATGTAGTTATCGGTGAACGATCGTACAAACATAATGGATAGTGAGGCAATGTAATAAATTACTTCATAAGCGGTGTTCAGAAACTATTAATAGTATTATTAGAACAAAGACGGCGGGCGCTGTTAGAATGTATCTGTCATTCACATGAGCGCGCCGCAGTGGGTACCGCCGGAGTGCGCGCCGACACCCGTCTCGTCCTATGCGACCCTGGTACTCACAACTACTAGATAGTGTAGAAATAGTTGACCATAAATGCCGCTTCGGGTTTTCGATTTGTTTGTGGCTAAATTCTCTATAGTTTATAAAAAATATATTTATGAAAAGCAGAATCGTTTCAAGTTGTTTAATAAAAATTTTATTAAAAAAAATAAAAGAGCATTTCTGATGACAAAACATCTTGATTATTGACATATTTCATGATAGGAATGCGTTTAAAACACTTAAAAGACATCAATGATCGCTTCACTGAGCTGGAAGTATCTCGAAACACATCATACTTTGTTAGTTCCACTTTGTTTATGAAGTGAGCGATTTTGTCGGGGATGGGATTGAGCATGTCGTCGAAATAAGGCAAATTATAATGTGTAAATATAAAAAAAAAAACATCAAAAAAAATTCTGCTGCCAGCGTAGACCTAGACTTCTATAAAAAGAACATTTAAGTCGATTTTTTTGAACCTTCTACATGAAAAAACGCGTGGAATTTTTTACGTCAGAGAAATTTGTGAATGACTCTTTGGACAATGTTAATAAGAGTGAGATTTGGTAAGACCAAGATATCTGAATTGACGTATTTATTTCTTAAAAGATGTAAGATTATGCCGTAGTTCGATATGATTTTGGTTTTGTTTTTTGTTTTTTTGATTTTGATTTTGATTTGGTTTTGGTTTTTTGATCTTTGTAGACATCTCTTAAATGGTTTATTTATCAAAGCTAATTAATGCAATAGCAGTCATTCATGAAACTTTGTATATTTTTAGAATGACTCTTTAAAATAATTGTTTATTTCTTTGATTTTATCTCTTCTAGTGTCCATAGGCCTAAAGCAGCAATCATGCTACGTCAGGGTCGACGCACGCAAGAGAAGGATAGATATACACAGATAGGTGCGTGAGAGTGTGACGGGCTATGTAGATGTGGCAGCGAATACGGTCGTAAAGTAAAACGCGGTTTTTGCTTTTCGTTCCATTTAGCTCCAAGGAAATCTGTTGGTCCCCGTGCTGTTAAAGAGAAAAAAAAACGTAATAAAAAGCTAATCGTATTAATAGAGTGTTAATATTTATTAAGCGTTTATCTCCATTGGTTGTGAAGTAAACCGTAACTAATTGGAGCAGCTTTGTTTTAATTTCAAATTAATTTAAACTACAAAAATGGTGAATTAAATCGACGTAGATTCTGATAGCGTCTATTAAGCTATGCATGCCGATTTAAATATAAATTAGAGAATGCCTTATTCTATAGCAAAAATCGTTTTTAAATAATTTTCGTCTCGAAAAAGAGAAAGTGTGGGAAAAATGTAATATTACGTGACAGGGAAAAGCTTCTGAACATTCTAATAGAATAAAGGTTGATAATCTTAAATACAGTGGATTCTTATACAGGCATCTTTCTAATGTATCGAAGAGATATAGAAATAAAAATCAAAAGAACGCATACAACCCTTGCAAAGATAATTAACGACTCTAGAACTTGTATTCAACAAAACGCAATGTAATTATCCTTCGTCATTTGTCTAATTAAGTTCTTGATAACATAAGGATGATGGTTTTGGATGAATGGTATGTTTGAGTTGTGTTCTGTCAGATTTTAATAAGTAAAGCGTCATTCGGTCTGATGTTCTTTTCTTACTGGGTTGTTCACATGTACGCGAGGATATTTGGAACAGTGGAAAACAGAGCTAATGATTGTCTAGAATGTGTGTTTTGTGAAAGCTTCCCAGACTACCAATTAGGCTATCGCTAACGTCGGATAACATCGTTCACTGCACACCGCCCCCGTCATTGTTTGTTTTGTTGCTTTAGGTAAGTGCATAACTAAGCCGTGTTTACCCAATTTGGACGAACAGTCCCCTTGCGTACAATCTACAAATCATAGAATAAATAAGTACCTAACGATAACGAAGGCGTTTGTTAGACCCGAGTATTATGGAATTAGATTCAATGACTCTTAGTCATAACTTTTTAAAAATACGACGATCAAAAATTTATTTAATTACGATCGAAAAGATTTTCAATCTTTATCCCAAGAAAATTACAGGAATCATTCTAATACTGCAAATACTAAAGTTAATTGGATGCATAAATGTTTGTGAGAGTTTGTAGCCTAATCAGATTTAATTTCGCGCGGACGATGTCGCGAGCAAAAGCTAATATACTAATAAATTATACCATAAAAAGTTACCTTCTTACGTACGTACGTTATTCGAAAAGAAATAAATTCCTTTGCTACTCAAGCTATTTCATCCCATTTGCCTTTTAAAGGACATTCATATCAATTTGTGTAGGTAAGTTAAAGTGGCCGTCTCGCGCCCCAAGGGTTGAGGGTCCGCGGTGCTGTCGTAGGAAGCAATTAGGCGAGCCCTCGCCCTACGTAAGCCCTCCCACCTGCGGTAGTGCGGTCAGGGCTGCCGTTAACTTGACCGCACTTAATATTAAAAACTGAAGTATGCTTTTGGCACAGTATCCTTTGGCTTTACTGTTAGACCCAGACAAATGGGTTATTCCAAAAATAGAATAAGTCTCTGAACTGAAGAGTGAACAAATCATGTTTTTCTCACTATCTGCTGATAATCCTATTCTACCAATTCGTCTAGTTTCGCAAATCTATCGTTCGTACCTTTTATCGTCCAGTAATCTCGAGGGCCCTCGAAGTCGAGGGAGGCCAAAGCTCCAGTGGATAGACGGCATAAGAGACGTGAAAAACGTTGGCATAGCGAACTGGAGGACCGTGGCCAGAGATAGGCCGAAATGGAAAAAAATGCTGGACCAAGCCAAGGCCCACAAAGGGTTGTAGAGCTACAGAAGAAGAAGAAGAAGTACTTTTTATGGTAAACGGTAGGAAACGAGAAAGCGGCGAGTTGAATACGCACAAACAGCGAAGTGTTTGTTGCCTACGGATATCTGTAAATGCCGAAGAGTAGTTTTTATGTCAATAACATAGGAGTACAAGCACAGAAATGAATTATATCCTCTTCCTTTGCGTCTCCATCTTTGTCAAATCCACTTCCAATTCCTTCTTTATAAACCAAAGTTGGCAAGGGGAAATCTTCACGCTTGTTTTCTTGTGGTTGTAGTAATGCACCGGGCAGTTGTTGACGTTATTGGGATCTCTACCATTGTTGAATACAGTCGATTGATTCACTAAACCATTTCAATATTCCAATCTAGACATAAATATCTCTGTAGACAGATTAAAAAGAGACTAAAAACATTCAAACTTGTGAACAAATACTTATTACTTTTACTCGGACTATTTCTCACAGCAATAACTTTTGGGAAACGTTTACAGAAATGTTGACAACCCTATGACACTTGGAATACAGAATTAAGATTGATTTTAGGCACCTTCATTGTTTGCTTAGTTGTCTGGTGACAATGCAACTGTCACTAATTACAGTCCATATCATAGGTATATATCAAATTTTCTGTAGCAATGGATATTTTTTTAATACTGAGGTAACTTTTACTAGAATGTCTTTTGTTATTAAAGTAATATTGCACCTTTGAACTGTTTTAACCCACACCGTGTCTAATAAACGCCAAAATCACCTCGTTTTAACACTGAAATGACAACAATTTACCAATAACATAGGGGTAGAATCAATAAGGGTGGGGCACCATTTGACACTGATTGGTTTCGCTACGAGCAGTTGTTTCGGACTTGATAACCGGAAATAATTTAATTCGAAACCATAGAAAATAACCGATGATAGATGAATCGAATTAAACAATATTTGGTCATTAATATATATTTTTTACATAAACGCACATTGAAAATATCTTAGAAAGTACAGATTAAATATTTACATAAATCACATACTTTTTAGTTTTTTAACTGTTTTTTATGCAGTAAATAGAATGAGAGTAGTAGAACTAGCATTCAATTCTCTACCCGGGAGACCCCACTCTCTTCTTCGGAAACTTGTAGTACAGCCTTCTGTATCTTCTGCATTAGTCTATTGCGTGCTTCTTGTGATGGCAGCTGCCTCAACTGCGCGGCTACGAAGTCACCGAATACCTAAGATTAACCTTTGGTCAGTACTAGACAAGAATTAGTGTAACCAATTAAAAGCAATCCAGAAACGGATCTCGATGAAATTTGGCATAGGTGTAGACCATAGTCTAATAGAACACATAGGATACTGGCTTTTACTTTTATAATTCCACGCGGACGGAGTCGCGAGCGAAAGGTAGTCTACCATAATTATTATGTGGTCCATTCAGCATATTTAAAATTTCCCTTAATATACCTGGTTCCAACAATGATCAATTACCTGGCAGTTATCAGGGCGGGTTTCCTGATTGACGAGTATGACTGGCTCCTCGTTCCAGATCTTCGGAGGCAGTGGATTTGGTGAGGAGGAGCAAACGTTGCGCACCATCAGGATACGAGGGCTCTGGCTCATGCGGCACGACCTACCAAATGCCACTTCTTCTTCCGCTTGGAACTCCGCTAACTGTATATCATGCTAATATTATAAATGCGAATCGATGGATGGATGTTTGTTAGTTTGTAGCCTTAAGGGTTGAACGGATTTTTGTGAAATTTGAAGAATACATAGACTACTCGCTTTTCTTTTTTTAATTTCACGCGGACGGAGTCGCAGGCGAAAGCTAGTATTTTAATTGCATCATTATTCATGCACAGAAGTTAAATTCATAAGTTCCATCTTACAAGCTTTGATAAGTAATTTAATATTTGTGTTCGTTAATAATATGATATCAAGTAATGCGGACAACATAAAGACGGAAATAAAAAGATATATCAAACAGCATACCGCAAGGTTGACCCCCTTTAGGGGCGCGACGAGGGGTACGTCGAGGGGGTCGGGGGGTGTGCGCAGTAGAAATGACAGAGCGTCGAAATATTCCCAGCTGCTTATCCCCGCCGCCACCAGACCCCCCGTCCTTTTTCTTATCTTCCGCACTTCATTGTTAAACTGGGACCTCAAATTGTGTATTTTACGACTTATCTCCTCCAAAGTCGTATCGAAAAGGCCCGCCAGATATTCCATTTTAGCTTGCCGGGCGCCTCTGTCTTTATTCTCCGGATGTTTCACGTCCCACAATTCCTGGCACTCCTTCTCCATAGTTTCTATAAGTTTCATTGTGCTCTCCGTATTCCAATTGTAACGGACCTCTTTCTTGTGCGTCGGTGAGTCAAGTTCCGCTTCTAATTCGATCTTCGGCAGCGGCATGTTGTCAAATGAATTTGAGTTGGAATCCATAACGAAGCGCAGCTATCGCTCTGTCGCTCTAGCGAGACTGCCGGCGACTGCGGAGAGCGGTGTCGGCCGGAGCGGCAACGTCGCATTCGTTCGATGCAACGTTGCCGCTCGGCCGTGTCAATACAATTCAACCACAGAGCTTTGAATTCTACGCGTGTCGTACATCTAAAAAATATTTTTTCACTATAAAAATAAGTACTTTTCAGCAATTATTTATATTAACACACTTTTGGTGCTCATTCTAATCCAGAATTCGATATGTAAAAAGACTTTTAATGACTAGCATTATATGACTGCAATGAACATATACGCGATTACTGTGTGAAAGAGAGAGATGCAAAAGTCTGGTCGTATCTGCAACGAGATTGTTAATTCAAGATAAGAAATGTTAGTATTTACTACATTGTTTTTTATATTTCTTAACATATTAATGATTTCTGTGGTAAAATGCGACAAAAACCCCTCTGCAATGGTTATACGAGTATACTGCAAGGAGTTGTTACATGCACAAGAACAAGAAGGTACGGTGAATCTCATTTGCGGTATTCCAATTAATTGTAACGAAGAAACAAATTCATAACAACACTCAAAGAAATCAAATTTCCCTCCTCCGGATATAAATAAACGATTAAGGTGCTAACCAAGTTTTTACAAAAAAAAGTGTCAATTGCCCGCATTTTGCTCCTGCTGCATAGTTATTGTAGAATGCACTATCTTACAATACAACTGACCTTCAAGATGTACAAGGTCACGGTTGTCATTCGTAAGATCGGATACTGCAAATGAATGCGACTGTCGGACTGTACTACGTACGCAACTATGACGTAGCTTGACTTGTCCTGCGCAAATACCTGCATTAAACAGATTCTACGTCAATACTGTCCCTGTCTAAAGCCTTAGATATTGATTGCCTTGTAAATATTGATGTTGTGCTGTTACTTTTGATTCGTATTACATCTTTTGTATTGTAGTTCGTAGTTTTTTGGATCTTTTATTTATTTTATACTAGCTTTTGCTTACGACTTCGTCCTTGGCAATTGAAAAAAGACTTTAGCAAGATCCGTTGAGCCGTACTGACCAACTATTCTTTACCCATCTAAATTTTCACTTTTGTAGTAATAATAAAATTTGTACTCATAAAATAATGACGTAATTGTTTTTGTACTCAATTTAATCTGTACTATTATAATAAAGCGTAAACACACACTTCTTTGTTGCCTAAGATGTCAGCAATTACAGCATATTTTTGAATGATCTTTTTTTTTATAAATATCCCTATACTTACGTCACGCTTTAGGCTATATATTTTCACGCCAATAAACTTAGGGGGTAAAGATTTTGGATAAAATCCCTAATGTGGGAAAGAGACCATAAGTTGCTGCCAACATCAAGGAAGTAAGATTGTCAATGTTTGTCATGTCATGTCATTTTGACATTTGTTATTGACAATTTGAGAAATGTAAACAATAAAATAAAATTTTCGTAATTTTATGCCGATGAAGCCGCACGGGAACAGCTAGTTTATTAATAAAACGTTATAATACATATGTACATCTTCACAAAGCTACTTTCAAAGATTTTTGAAAAATCGTTGGGTTAAATTCACGTCCAACGAAGCAAAATTTAATCGCAGAATTAAATAATACTTTTTAAGCCATGGGATATTAAAAAAATAAAACGATACAACCAAGTAAAAGTGCTACATAACGCTAGGGCTGTCATTATAAGGTACAAGGACACGCACAAGCTGTAATTATACCTCATTCTGGCGCATCCAATTACATTAGCTTATTCAATGATATTAACTGAGTAATTAGTGGGCACGTTCCATTCAAATGAGCTGAACTACTACGAACAATACAAAATATACTTTAAAGTGTACGGAATAAAGTTCACAATTGAATGATAAAACTAATTCCAACAGGGTTTGAGTTATTTAATAGAATCAAAAAAAGATATTTCAATCTTTTTAATGCCTAAAGCTATTTTTGAAGTGCTTTCTAATATTTGACCGACTTCAAAAAGAAATAAATTCTCAATTTATCTTTGTCAAAAATATAGCTCTGAAAACTAGCTGTTGCTCGCGACTTCGGGTGCGTCAAATAAAAAAAAAACTATGTTTCTCACAGACAAACTACATTTCTAACGGCAAAAGAACTTTTAAAATCGGCTCAGTAGTTTTTGAGTTATTTCATACAAAAAAATACAAATCTTTCTTCTTTATAATATAAGTATAGAAGTATAGATAACTTTCTAACCATTTAGACAATTTTTCAAATTTAATACGATAACATGCTTTTTAAAAATTAGTCTATTTACTCTGTTTTGGAGAAAAAACAAACGATAGATGGAGAACTAAAAAATGTGAAGACATTTATCTTGCGAAGAAGCAACCCTTTGTGCAAGGTTCGCATATCGAGGCGTATATCCGCAATGGTATCCGTACAGACAGACGGTGACGTATAGACGTATAAATCAGTGCCGGTGGACATTTTTCCGGAACTTACCCCCTGCCCCACCCTCGCACGCGTCGAGTGCTGTCTCGAGAGATACGGTGCACAACTATGTACAGATAGATAAAAAAAAATATTTTTTTAAATAATTTCTTTTTTGTTCTATTTTAATACTTCTTACAGCAGAAATTTCTAAAAAGATAAATAGCGGTAGATGACAATTAAGCTATAAACTCAAAAAAAAAAAAATAACTAATTGGAGTAAAATTACAATTAGATTAAATTCCACGACGTCAGAGAGGATCATTGATTTTGATTTTTTTTATGTTTTAAATTTCTCTTTATCTTTTTTGCTATCTGTCCAAGTCTGGGCGGGGCGTCTGCCTCATTATTTAGATATTAATCCTCTCCCGGCGTGCCCTGCACTGCATCGCGCCGCTGCCTCTCCGGCCCGCTTTAATTAATACGCCACGTTTGCGGGCCTGGGTTTACAGCATCTGGATTATTTTACTATGCACTACAATTTATGCAGGATAACTCCGTAGTTGTTATTAGTTAGAAGTAAGTTAAAACACAGATTTATCTAACGTGCTATTTATATAACCTAAAAATCTAATTTTAATGATACCTTTATTTATAACTGGTCCGCGACTTAAAAAAAAAACAAAAGTGAGTAGCTTATATGTTCTTCCAAACTATCTACGTATTTTTTCGAGATCCGTTGAGCCGTTAAGGCTATAAACTGTAACAAACATCCGACCATCTAAACTTTCGCATTAGCAACATAATTATGAGCATAATTGTAATACAGCTTTAAAAAAGGCTATAAAAAATAAGAGACATAAATTAAGCAATTAACATTACTAGCTACCTGAAGTAATAAAAGTAATTAATCCCGTTAGCAAGCGCGTCGGCCGTCGGCCCGCTGTACCCATTATTAAAGTTAATTGAATAATAATTAAGCACTTAACTAAACTAATAGTAACAGATTAACTCATAACCCTAATAATTAAATTGTCAGCGTTTCCGCCACTGGTAACTGTACTTATTTTATTACTTTCAATAATAAGTGGATTAGTCTGATAAAATTTATTGAAGCAACTTGAAGAGCATAAAAAATACACATGGACATTCTTGTTGCAAGATAATTCCTGCTAATGTGTCAGAAATGTTGATTTAATTATCACAATTGTATTGAAACATTCTCAAAGGGCAAAACTCTGTTATAAATTCGTTTTGCTAGAAACTTCCCAGGAACTAGTGTGAACCCTTCGCTTTTTGATCGCGTTGATACAATCAATTGCTTGTGATTTCAGTTACTAACTCCAGGACTGATGTGTACTAAATGATTTGGTATAGTTTTTGCTGACTGCAATCTACATATATCTATACATTATAATAAAATTGAAGTGTCTGTTATATCAAAAGAAAAAAATCCATATTTCGGGAAGATAATGTATTTGCGTTGCTGATAACGAAAATCGTATTTAAAAATTTTTTGTCTGTCACTGTCTGTCCGCAAGCTTCTCTTATTCCGAGTAATCTTCGAAAAGGCTGGGCCAAATTCGACCGGACTTTTACTGAAGGGTAGCTGACATAGACGGGCATAGTATAGGCTACTTTTTTATCTGAATTATGCGTGCACGAAGTCGCGGGCAACAGGTAGTAACACATGAATTATATTTAATCTCGAGAATCGTAGGCTTCGGCAAGATAGAATCATTTTTGCACACGCAGCAATAACATTTTTTTTATCGCGCAAACGGTGTAGCGGTTAACGGTAACTTTTTAATGTTGCTTATCTACGTGAGTCATTAGTAATTTATCGGACAAATAGTCCTGGATGTCCGGGATGTAGACACCGCTATGAACCGTACTATAAACAGGAGATGTTTAACGAGCGATCATGGGACTGAACACGTGTTCATAATACGCACGTGTCTCAGCTCTTTTCTCGCTATCTTGAAGTGATGCCGTCTTTACCTTTAAAAAAATACGGAGATAACTAGATTTTTTGTGTACATTTTTCAGCAGTGAAAACTATGGAACGGTTGCCAAACATTGGATTTGATTAACTAGTTTTCGGTTTACAGTGGTGTAAGTGCTTACTGTTACATATTTAAGCATTTACATAATTACGTAACTACTACCTATTAAGAAACCGAGAAAGATGCGAAAAACTGATTTGTGAAATATATTTTTCATAGTTGGTAGAGTTATTTATTTTCTAACTGTGACAAGAGATGGCGGTAGTTGTTCCTTAGAAACTTGCATGTGAAAACTAAAACTAATTTGATACGATCTACATTGTACGATTTATTAATATGGATTTTAACTTTGTAATCTAGAGTTTAGCAAACTTAAGCCATCTAAATACAGCATATGTTAACAAAATATAGTAGTAATTAATATCAAAGAAATCTTTTGTTACGCAAATAAGTCCTACTATTGTAAACGATATCACTACCAGACTTCTATCAATGGTGAAAGTTCTTAAACCACTGTTTAACATAAACTCGAAGCCATACTCAAAGTCTGTGGCGCGGGAACTCGGCCAAGTCAAACAAAAAGCAAGCAATCTCTGAATATATTTTAATATCAGAGCGGTGACGGCACAAAGGCGGT